ATAACTCATACGTCTCCTGGGACCAATGAAACGTTGTATCGATAGACCGTGGCAAAGGCTTTGCGGTGAATCTGATACACGCCATTTTCGAAGTTTATCTAGTATCTTTCGCGTAGCTAGTCCAAACCCACCGAATTGGCCATGCCTATCCCTCATCCTATCCCGTGATACAACCCTCGGCAATCTGAGGCGAGTTTGGAACCATATCTCGGCTGCCCAGGCAGGTGAGGTAGAGATCCCACCGGAAGGCAAGAAGCGTGCCCTGCAACTATTTGTCACCCGTGCGAGAAAATGGGTGTGTCCAGGTCGCATAGACGAACGCACTGAGGCCTTGACTACACACAAGCATAACAAATGCACGCTAGGTAGTCATTTGGAATATATCGAGCATGTAGTGATTTTGTAATTCAATATGAGCCAAGCAGAATGATAAAGAATGTCGGCGAGTTCAATTCACATGATTGTCATCCGTTGTGTTGAGTCATAGACTTACTCCTCTTGATCTGAGAATATCTAGAAAGTACTACTTGTGCAATAAATCTATCTCTATTCGAATACTATTAATTTAGACTTGTTGTTCTAAGTACATGAGGAAAGTAGGGTATCGTGACAGTTTGCAAGGACATCGCTCTTCTATTAGTGAGGGGGTGTATTTCATAGTAGCGGATACTGAGCAGAAGGATTCTTTCTTTGTCGTTCAGAAATGACTAAAGTAAGTATGAGAGTGCTTTATTCTGAAGATATACTGTTCGCAAGAAGCATTTAGTTCGATCGATCAAACATGCCCCGGAATTCGCTTTCAAATAACTCGATATGCCTTATTATCTATCCATCTAGGATTGCTGAGGCGCGGGACTCCTCACAGGTAACGCAGGAGTAGTATTTCGTGCCTATTGTCGCATGTCTGAATGCGTAGCCGTATTATTACCTGACCCAGAATTATGCCCTTACGTTTGCTCGTGAGCATGTGAGGCATAGTTTAAGAACCACTAGCTCTGGTCAAAATGATTATGCGGTGTTGAGAATGTAGGCATTTTCTTTTGTGACTTTAAGCCTGAAGTGTTTATCCATAATTCTGTGTATACTCCGTTATTAATAAACAGGGAATCAGTGAGAAAATTCGCAATGACCTGAATTAATGCTAAGTTATGCAGCAATCTCATCTTTGAAATGTGACAGGACTGGGAGATGAACTCTCAGAACTGATCTCACATGCGGTTATTGAAACCTAGGATTAGCTATGTGAGCGAACGAATCTCTTTGTTTCAGTTAGGAGTAAGGCATAATGGTTCGAAACTCAAGGTCATAAAGCTAGCGGAGTCTTGGTCACTGAAGCCCTAGAAGTTCCCGAAAGGAATACGTGTGACCTACTTCTTGACTTCGCACACCGGAGATACTAGCGCAAGGAGCCAACTCCCCATTAAGTTCGAACTTCATCGATAGTTCCAGTAATCCTGCTTGCCAGTGGTCCCTAGCGAACGTTTACCCGCAATAGGAAACTTCGGTATAAATGCCTGCACTTTAATGTTCATTCGGCTTGGTTGGAGCCTTGGGAATCCTGATCATGAATGGCGTTCCACCGGGCTTGGCTGTTGAGCTTTCTGTAAATAAACCATACTATTGACTGGTAATTAAGTAGAGTTGATATACATACTACAGATTTGGAAGTCATGACCGGGTTCTGGGCCGGCCAAATTCAAAGAATTCACAACAGAACGTCGCAAGTGCCTTGAATTAATTAGGTCATAGAATGGTCAATCGGGATGACTCGAGCATCATGCGTTTTCAGGCCGAAGATTCCATCCTTGCGCATCGTGAACCACTTTGAGCCCGTTCTCTTCAACCATCGATTACCGGCAAGCAGACCGTCGGCCTAACTTCACGGCACTGCCGCTTGGACGACACGCCGACTTTCACTGCCCCGACTGCACGTCTATGAAACTTTGACAGCTCTCAGACATCATCAGATTAGAGGTACAAACTTACACGTCCCTAGCGCATACTAAGTAGTAGATTGCGGTCTGTGGCATTGACGCTTCTGCACCTCACCAAGCGCCGACCGCACTTTGCCGCATGTCCTGTGACAATTTCGACGCGCCTAGATGGTTTCTTCAAAACAAAGGTGCCGCTAAAACTACAAACAATATGTATCCACCAACATCATTATTGAGATCGGGGGCAGGGCCGGTCGACCTGCGAGAAAGAAGCGAGGCTCACCAGTGATAGTGAGGTCCAATGTAGTTTAGAGAATGTATTGTGCATGGAGTTCTGGGGGTTCTAGAATATGAATCACTTTCGTGTGCCACCATCCCGGTGTAAAATCGTACGGCCTGCCATTACTACTTCAGACCCTGCGCATCTATTTGCGAGTACCGCAATATCAAGATCCCGTACCTACGAGTCACTTGAGCCCCACGTCATCGAGAAAGGCAGAAACCCCAGGTGTTCACAGCAGGGAAAGAAAGGCTGTACTTGTCTATTCCAGAAGAATGAACCAGGGTAAGCGACGGGCGTACTTCATCGTATATTACGTAGGAGACATGAAAGGAGAAAGCTCATTAGTCGCCAAGAACATATGACCTTTTCGTATACTAGCTCGCATTTGCACCGCGCTCCTCAACAACGCCGGCTCGGCTCAAACATCGGCCCAGAAGCCTGCCGGGATAGCGGGATTTAGCACATCCTAAAATCGTAAAGTATTCGTACTCGAGTGCAAGTCTCGCTGTCACATCAAAGCGAGTCAGGCGAAGTCTAGACTCTTGCGAGAGCGTAAGGCATAGAATTGAGGATGGTCGATAACCTGCCCTCGTCACGGGGGAGAGGGGATCATTACGATCAAGGAACCGCAGTATCTCCTGTCAAATAACTGCCGTCAACCTTTACTTGAGTATGTGAAGGCAGATACGAATTGGATCATCATCGCACAGCGGCTGGTCGGAGATAGTTTGTCGTCCGTTGATAACAATAACGCGCTGATAAGCTTGCCCACACATTATCAGTGAAAAGAGCACGTTCCAGACACCAAGTCGACTCTACCTCTATCACTACTATACAAAACAGAGTCGGTACGGCAATTTACTCCCACCAATGAGCTACCGCATACGTATTCTCAAAAGGGTAAGTAAAGTGTCCAAAGGGTCTGTGGAGAGTCTGGTTCTGACCACGGACTGGCCTGCTGCCGGCCTGAAGTGATCCTCAGCCCTAGGAAAGGTCCGCAAGAGCCTAAACAGACCAAATCCTAGAGCATGCGGCGCTCAGTACCAGGTGCGAAACCGAATCAACTGCCCAGGAGCCCGACTCACCAAGGTTGGGTGCCGATGTGGGGGTGCCCCGGACGCCAAGACAGCAGTTCTTTGTGTCCACCTCTGCGCTCCCCTCTCCTCCGATCCCCCAGTGCCCCTCCCACGGCAAGGGTAAGTGACTCCGACCCGTCGGGAGAATCCGAACTAGAGTTCGAGAAAGTCGGGAGAACCCAGGACTCAGGCCGAGGCTGAGTTTGGTGCAGCTGCCACCTGAAGAAAATGCTCTACAACTTGATGCGTTGCTGGTCCACGCTCCGGAGGCCGTGTGCCGGTTTTTAGACCGTTTCATTGATTGCCCAATCTTGTCGGCGCTTCCATCATGGAAAGCTTCGTCTTGAGCTTTGCACTGAGACTCTGCTTGTGGTGTACCAAATTTCTGGGATGTCAATACTCGATGAAAAACGAAAACGTGCAGCGGTTCCCCGTCTCTCATGGTAGCAAATCTTCTACGTTCTAGAAGTTGAACCCTTCGGTGTCGAGTGGTACGATGCATACGGGTGAGGGAGCCCTCGCGAGGAAACCTGCCATTTTTCGTATACCTAGTGTGTTACATCTCTGCCTGCACCTGAAAACGTGCCGACGACGCATAACAACGGGCAGGACGCGCAGTAGCACCTCGTGCATCACGATATTGTCTGCCCGGTCAGCAGAACCGTTGAAGCCAAACCAGCCACAAAAAGCCATGCGGCCAGAACCCCGGCGGCACAGTGCCGGCTGACCCGTCGAGGGATTGACGCCTACTCACGCACTTATGCTATCAAAACGAAGTATTTGAATGCAGAACAACAGACACATGTTTTCAGACTGTTGTGTCTTTGGCAATGAATAAGGGCTCGAATTTGTCCCAGAGGACCGCTCCGTAGACCGCAAATGAAGGCTAGATTATTTGGTAGGGAATACTGAGCGGAGCAACCGGAGCTTACGGTTAGCGTAGCGCATGTCACCACGCAGGGGAATCAGGGACGTTCCTAGTATCTCCCACGAGATACTACTGTTGCACACAAAGGGACCGGAATACGATTATTCCAAGGCTTATGTGGGATGTTGACGCCTCCACAGATGAGGGACCGAGAAACTCACGTACGGGCCGCATGCCATGGATTTAGATCCAGAACTACATCGGGTTGATGTATCAATCGCCGCTAATAGGAGCTATGACACTCACTCCTCACAAGCAGTCCAAACACTCGATTGGCTCGCAACTTCTCCACTGCAGAGCTTAGGCCCGTTACTGTCTCTTTGAATGATCCCGTTTGGGGCTTAAAGTTTCCCCCGGTGTACAGAAACGGGCTGCTAGGGGAGATGGAAACCATACAAATGTGGGATGGGGGTGCCACGCACTCTGCTCGGCAGGCATCGCTGAATTCCTCGCGAGAATCTTTCTGGTGAGGATACAAGACGAAACATTAGGAGATGTTCGTTATTACTAGTTTCTCCAAAGGCTTTAGGCGGTCCTTCTGCAGCTTGCTACCGTACCCTGCGAAGTTTAGCCCCTTGGAGTGACGATCGTCTCAAGTATGCTGCATTTACTGGCTGCGGCGAATAATTCAAGCGACGGCCTCCAGCAATGTCCGGATGTGAGGAAACACTCTGGACTTCGACCGCTGGGGATACTCATTATTCGCGGTTAAGGTAGATGCCGGACACCATGCGCGCCGGTTTGCGCTATGGCAGCACTGTAGAGGAGCTCATACCCGAATGTCTTGGCTTTGGCTGCCACAAGATCTCTACTGTGAGCTCCCCCAGTCTGATGGCCACTTTCTTGGGAAAGTTACGAGGATGACGGTGCCAGCAAAGCGGTAAGCTCATCTGAAAAAATACCATCGACAGGCCAGACTGAATATTCGACTGAAGTAGCCCAAACCCAAAAGCGAGTCATAACACCGTCGTAAGGCTTCCTTCAGAACCTAATCCACGAATGGCAGTCCAACCCTACTGCACAGGAGCCCATTAGCAACGCCTCAAACCTTAAGCCTCCCTACATGTGCACTCGGCCGCATCTGACCTTCGTCAATCCGAAATCTACTTATACCAAGGCACGCCAGCTGATACGTTCCATGGCCCATTGATCTCAGGATCTCATCATTCAGCACATGTCACCCAGCGTTGATATTGAAGGACACCGGCATCGACAAGAGGTCAGAGGTCCTCCTCCACCGTGACACTCCTTTGGCGAATCCCCTCTTCGAGATGGACGACATCGACTCCACAGTCATCGAGACGTCGAGCAGCCCGAAACACGAGATCCGCCCCGAGCAGATTATCAGCCTCATTATCGCACCTATATCGTCTTGCCTCCTGGCATACCTACTTCGTGAGGGAATCGTTGCTGCTAGGTTATCGACAAGATCTAATGGCTTTCAAGGTCACCAGTGGTCCGCGATTAAAGACTGGCGTCCGTTGCCATGGACAAGATGGCGTAAGGGGTGACATTTCGAAAAGAGTCTGGAACCTTTTGGGCTAAAAGAACATGTCGCAGTTGTGTTATTCACCTACCTCTTCTCGTGCCTTTTCGTCTTCGGATCATGGGTCTTCCAGCTTTTATTTCTGGCTGAGCTTCGCATGGATTTCATACCATGTTCAGCTGCGGGCATACTGTGTCTGACTGCCTACGTCGTAATCAAAGTAAGTTGTAAATCAAGTCCGTTATTGGTATCATTGCTAAATCCGTCACAGGCCGTACGTTTACTGGTCCTCCAGGCTTCAATCCCAATCGTTGAATCTTGGCCAATCTGACTCTTCAATCAGCTCGTCTACCTTTTCATGGTTGATAAAGCGGTAAAACTCTACCCCAAATAACCCCCCGATCTCAATCACGGCTAACGCCTTGACCAGCATGTTATCCGAGGCACTACCAAGTCTCGTCTCAAGTCCAAATTGTATGTATTCAATGCGTTTGTCATGCTGGGTATGTCCATGTTCCGAGCCCAGTCGCCAACATCCCTGACCGATTGCCATTAGCTGTATACGGCATTATAGCAACGTTCAACTTTGTCTCGTAAGTATTCTCATGCTCTGTCCCCGAAACATACACTAACACCTGTTGCTCTGCTAGTCGAGGGTCTCGGTACGACAAGGAAAATGATGTCTGCAGTATCGGACTGGAACGCACCATCCTGTTGCCCGTCATTTTCTTTGACGCTGTTGTCAACGTGTATCTGACGTCTCTGTTCTTGTTTCCACTACTGAGTAAGTCATGTGGCTCCTCAGTCTCTCTGAGTCTGGACAAGCTCTGACACCGGGTCATTAGGATTACACTCGATTCAAATATCGATGATGAAGCCATGGACGATGCATGAGAATACCCTTCATTTCTCACGAGTTCCGCCCAACGTAAGGCTACGGAGACTCGCATTACGAACGTTTGCCGGTGTTATCGGCACATTGGCCATTAGCATTGCGTAAGAAGCGATAAATGATGTGAAAGCATGAAATTCTTGATTGGGCTAACATCGATCTCTTCTAGCAACCTATCAGTGTTGGTCGCTCTGGAAGGCGAGATAGTTTGGCTTTGCCTCACCTGTTGCAATACGGACAGTAAGTTTACTCCGTACCTTCCCGCTTCGTCTTCCCTCCTCGCTAGAGCCGTTCTGCAACTTTGATCAGACTCTAAAATTTGGGTAGTTCTCTTCACCGCATTTGTCATTCATTGGATCAACTCTAGCGGCAAAGCTACTCCAATATCCAATGTCGAAGTTGCTCCTACCCCAGCCCCGCCGCCACCATCAATAGAGCTGGGCGAAAAAGAAGTTGTGACCTTCACTGAAATATTTGATCAACGACGAAAGTCGTACGACGACCACGAGCCATAGTTGCATTCTTGTTCTGGTCATGGAATGGCTGGGCAACGTTCCTGAGGAGAACGCACCTACATGTAGCCACCGGACCTCTTTATGAAAACGGCCTTGTATCGAACATATGATTCCCCCTCATGGATAAGCGTATTGGTTTCTCAAATCTGGGTGGCACTGGTTGGAAAAGCATTGCATGAAGTATTTGTTCGTCGTTCACTGCTGTAACTCAGCTTTCATCGTATACACGGGTTCAACTTATTGCGTCAATCAGGGTGCAAGAAAGTTTACTTACGAAACACATATCATCAAATAAAACCGATGCCTCTGCCTATGTTTCACAATAGTCTGCATTAATCATTGCACAAAAGCGACACTCCTCTTGTTACTAGGTAGGCTGCAATAGCTCATGTCGGTCTCAGGATTGGCAACTAGGCAGCAACAGCTTACGTGTCGTTCCATTGACGACATCGAGTAATTTACATCGTTTTTTGTAGTGTTCAAGCGGATATTCAGTTACTTTGGGTGCCTGAACTGCCAAGTATGAGAGGACAAATCCAACGTCGTCAATTAGGCCACCATGATTGCATTGACTCGGGAGTCTCCGACGCTTTGAAGGCAGCCATATAGAACGCGGTATCATCGTCAAGACTAGGTTGCTGATTTCGCAATTTCATGCTGTATATCTGATGCACTATATTAAATTTACTTTAAGCATGCCGCCGGCAACCCTGGGCTGAGTGCAAGTAGCACACTGTCAATGCCCTCAGGCTTCCCCGCCGCCAAGAACACCTCGGTCTTGATACCTAGAGGGGAGGCCGTGTATTCTGCCCGACGAGCGACCGAGTTATGCCCAAAACAATGTCTCACACCCTCTACGCCACCGCTGCCATTGTATTCTACACTGCCATGGTTTTACTCTCAGCGCACATGTCTTCCCGAGCCGAACCGCCTAGCCGGCCGGCAGTGACCATGCCGTCCGAAGCACTGTCGTCAGCATTGGAAGCCGGACATGGCCAAAGACGTTGTCGATGCGTGGAAAGACGAGCCGAGCACCAAGTTCGTAAAGCACTAAAACGCGAAGAACGCCTCGTCGCCGCTTTCAACGACGCAGGACGCCTACTCCTCAATCGCCGTACAGCCTTCGGCGTGGGTCACTGGACCACAGTCTATGGATACCCAAGCACCGGGGGATGTTATACGCTGAAGTGCGACGGTGTGGAACTCGACTTCTTGGGCTTGAGCCGCTTCGAGCGCTCATTCAGGTCAGGAGATCCGGAAGAGGAGGATGCGCACTGCGCAAGGATGATGAAGCTTGGGCCAAACTGGTGGAAAAGCCTGACGCATTATCTGGTCAACCAGTCCTTTGGGAATTCCACGTGGGAAGATGCTGTTGTAATTGCTGGCTATCCAGCAGCGGGTGGTCTCTGGCTGCTGAAGACCACCAGGGCAGAGGCTGCTAACGCTGGAGCTGCGAGAATTCACAATGCGAGGCACATGGAGGAACGGTGCCAGATGATCGAAAATTGCGGCGGGAGATTCTACAAAGAGGCCGATGAGGTTCCAGAGCTCGTTGTTAGGATACTGGGCGTACACTAGATCTATAGGTCAGGGTGAATAGCACATGCTGTATCATACGGTATGGCAGTATGTGCTGAACGGAGTAGGAGGTTCGTGAATCTGCGTTGTTTGAGTTTGGCCTATCCATTTGCCTGTTTTGAGAAATAAAGTTCTGTGGTTGAGACACATGGCGGCTTGTCAAGCAGATATCCCCCGATCGTGTCACCATGACCGGGTGAGATCTTTCCCCCGCCGCTGATTAAGTAGCTGCCACTGGCCAGGTAGACTCCCAGACTGTTGACAACACAATGATGAAGCACCCGTCCGGGGAAGGGGTAGGTATCGTAGCATTTCAAATTCCAAGGGCTTTGCCTACCGCATTTGTGCAACACGTGTATAAAGTTTAAAGGACACTGTGGTAATATCGATAGAAAGCTCTGTGCAATAGAAAGACCAAGCTCTATTTTCATCAAACCATCTACTGCGACACACTTCCTGTCATTGTTGTCGGGGAGTTTGAATGACTAAGGCAGCAACCAACAGACCATGCCATGCTTCTGGGCCAGGCTGCAGGCATAAGCAAGTAATCTCCTATCCAGGCAGCCAACAGAGCGGGAGTTGGCTGCATTTCTCGGCGAAATAGGCATCAGTCGGCGGTTTACTAGAAAACCAGGGAAGTGACCGACTCGGCCTCGCGGAATAAAGTTTCAATTTCCCGAGATAACCTGCGGCCTCCGGAGTGCCATTCGCGAAAAATGACCTTGAATGTTCTCACTGCCCCTCTACAAATATTGCTCAGACCGTCGCAAGTATTGTACTCCATATCAATTGCATCTTACTTCTATGTTACTATCAGACTAGTAGCCTGGGCTGTCGAGTATTATCGAATCATGACGATCATACCATCTTCAGACGGCTACGACGATGACGATGGCGGTAATTGTTCTCGCTGCTCCTATTGCCGCGGCTACAAGGACGCGATAACCCCGGAACAAAAGTACAGAACCTCGTTCGGGATAAGATCCGGCACGGCGGTGCGTGGATGGCCAAGCCACGGTGGGATTTTCTTCCTAGACGACTGCGTTGGCGTAGACCTCGAATTCCTTCAGCTCGACCGTTTCGAACCCACATTAAGATCAGAAGACCAGGCGGAGGAAGATGCGCACTGTTTGAGGATGCGCATGCTCGGTGCGGTGTGGTTTGATAGCGAATACCCCCGCGAACTAGAAGATTATTCCAAACTTGGCGACCACCCAATAACGTCTCGACGAAGCGATCATGTCATTGCCGGGTACCCATCCACGGGCGGCGCTTGGGTTCTCCGGGTCTTTGAGGAAGACGGTCGCAGCATGGGAGTTGGTCGGATAAAGAACGCGAGAAATATGGAAGAGCGGTGCAGGGTCATTCAGAAGCTTGGTGGGGTGTTTTACGAAGACCCTTTTGAATCACCCGAACTGGATCTTCGACATGAATTTCCAGACCCGAGGAGGAATGGAACTGTGGTATACCACATGATACGGCACATGGTTCCGGAGAAGTTGACATTGGAGATACGCCAAAAGTCACAAGAAGTCGAAGTAGACTATAATTAATTAATGAATCGCATTATTGGTTGGGATTTCTCCTCTGCACCAGATATTCGGGCCATTAACACGTGAACTGGGAGGCAGAAAAGTCAAGACTCGGCCCTGCCGGAGCACAGGCGATCTTGCCAAGCAACCAGTTCAACTGGACATTTCTGGCCGTGAAAGGGCCGGCGGTCGATCTATGGATGCGGAACATACGCTTACAATTAAGTTGTTTTCAGTTGCAGTGGAGAAGGCGGCAACTAGAAAAACTGCTCGTAAAAACATGTGCTGTTCTTGAGGCGGGTGAGACAAGGAGTGAAATGCCACTCGCCTGTGGGGGTAGCGAGAGTCTGAACTTGGCGGGGTAAGCGAATTTCTACTCGCCCGCGTTCCATCCACCTGGATTGGCTAGACCCTGTATGAGAGGAATGCTGATTCACATCGGCAATTGCCTTGCATCTATCAACTCTCCTATTAACCTACCGCCCGGTGCTGATTTAGGAGGTTAGAATTTCCGATGCAGCTCCCAAAGCTTCCAGCGAAAGCCGCATACATCCATCTTCGAAACCCAGCAAGGCGCAATGCCCTGAGTCTGGAGATACTAGAAGATCTCCGCACGCAGCTACTCGCGCACCTCACGTCACCATCATCCGGCAGAGTTTTGACGCTCCCTCCCTTTAGACCCCCAATCTTGCGAGAGCTTGAGAAGGCAGGCTCATCGTCTGACTCGGGCGACAGGAGCTCGTCAGGATACAGCTGGCTCGTCGATGCCGCAGAATGGAACCGAGAGCGAGCCGGGCTCCCGAACGTCCTCGTCCTCCGAAGCAGTCCGGGGCCAGTCTTTTCGTCGGGTCATGACCTCAAACAGCTGGCCTCGCTCTCGCGTGTGGAGGTGAAGCGCACGTTTGCTCTCTGCGCCGAAGTCATGTCTCTCATTCGTCAGAGCCCGGCACCCGTCATCTGTCCCATCCATGGCCTCGCGACGGCTGCCGGACTCCAGCTCGCGTTGTCGACCGATTACCCAATCGCCCTGTCTACCACCAAGTTCCAGCTGCCCGGCGCGAGCATAGGAATACCGTGCACGAGCCCCGTGACGGCCGTATCCCGGCGCCTACCACCAGGCCAAGCTTACCGACTTCTTCTCACAGCCGAAGCGGTCGCCGCTGACGACATGCGAGGTGCTGTCGATGTGGTGCCGACGCCCGAGCATGCAGAGTCCACGGACACGGCGGCTGCCGCCTTCGAAGGGCGCGTTGCGGAGGTGGTGGAGAGACTTGCGGGGTCAGCGGGTCAGCCGATGGCCCTCGGTAAATGGGCCTTTTGGACACAGCTCGGCATCAAAGGTGACGATGTTGACGGAAGAGGAGGTGATGGTTATGAGGATGCGGCGAGTTGGGCCGGACGAGTCATGGCGCTTCATGCGGGGAGTGCTGATGCCCAAGAAGGAATCGCATCCTTTACTGAGAAACGCAAGCCGCAATGGCAGACTTGAAGACCTGGGCGACTACGTTGGCCGGGACCGGATGGGATACTAATGTCGAGCCACAGCCTGCAGAGACGGCTCCGCCCCGGTTCAATTCACGGGGTGCCCCCGCCCGGAGCCGCCGGAACCCACTAAATGAAAAATTCTGTTCGAAGATCTCGATGTTTTTACATGACAAGTAACAAAAAACCCTGACCACTCACTTCCAAGTGCAAAAGAATGACCAACGTGGGGCTCGAACCCACAACCCCCAGATGACTATATCTCATAGATGAGAAGATAGAAGTCTGATGCGCTACCATTGCGCCAGCCGGCCGGTATCCACGATTTGGACTGATGGTGAGGTCGAGTTCCTGTGGAGTTGTTGAATTTGGCTCGAAATGCAACTAAGTTTGATCAACTTCACAATTTTGAGCATCTCCATCCCACAACTCCACTACTCGAGAACCAGGACGTACCTAATCTTTCGTGTTCCGTCATTCCTTTACACTCTTTGCGTCGATTTCCCCCGTAGACACCGTTCAGATGAGATGATTCTAAATTTTAACTTGGAAACACATAGCATAGAGGCACTGCCCATACCTACGGGGTCGACCCGACTACATCCCTAAGCATAATGGGCTGTGTATGCTTGCCGTCATCAAAACTCTGCCTCCCAATCTCCCTGAAGCCGTATTTTCTGTACAAAATAGCACCCGCGTTGCTAGCTTCTAGAACCGTGGGCACAGCTTCTTCATCGCTACGGTCAAGCCCCCATTGAATCAGTCCCCTCCCAACACCGTGACCTCGAGCGTCAGGACATACGCCAAGCCAACACAGACGCCATCGTTCAGCTGGATACATGTTCTGGGCTTTATTCAGCTGACACATCAACTCCTTGACCTTGCTGGCCGGCAAAGACCCGACCAAGAGCCGATACCAGTATTCCAAAGCAACGTGCAGCATCATGAGACCTAGAGGCAAGAGTTAGCGGATTAGACATTTCTGCGGTTTAACTGAGTTGAGGCTAACGTTTGCGCAGGCTGTTAACCTGCCACGACTTTGCTTTCGCGGACGTGCCATGTCGTTGCCAAATGCCGAGGCCAACATACTGTCCCCCTCCGGCTTCGGACACGTCCCTAGCGACGGTTATCATGGTACCAGCCTTTGCCATCTCATATCTGAGAATGAGTCGCCATATCACACGAACGTTCTCAATCCTGTTGTCGTGATGCTTGGTGAATAGCATCGAGAAAGCTGGATCATCAACCCAAATGCGGCACGCAAGTTCGATCAGCTCGTCTAGTTGGGTAGGTGAGACATCTCGGAGAACGGTTATGGAGGTCATTGCATAGAGTATGTGCCAGAGCGATCAAAGGTCGAAAGGAGAGAGTGAGCTCAATTGTTCTCATGCAATAAGCCACCTATTAAATGCGGGACTGAACAAGTCGGTGAGGGGAACCTGAGTATGCAATATTTGTATGTGGCCTGTTTTCTTGGGCCTGGTATGACCTGCTTAGCTTATCAACCACGCTGGGGCTGTGGATTGGTGGCTCACGTCACGGAGAATCTTTTCAACGATACTCAACCAAAGTCCTTTTCTGTTCGAACTCATGAGGATAAATGTAGGCCGCTGCATACCTGTGACTCGCACTAAGTGCACCGTTGCCATGTGCAAGGCAGGGTCTCCCTTTCCGGTTATTCGAAGGATCGCAGAAGTTGGAGACTGTTTTAGTTTTTATTTTTTGGAACTTACAGCCTTTCCAAGGTTTGAGTCGTTTCCGTGGTTGTTGGTAACCACAGAAACCCCGTAGAATTGTTGAATGAGGCTGTACTCATATGGAAGCCAGACTGAGAAGCTTTAGGCATCGGAATTATGCTTCCTTCGTCTGGCCTAGGCCACCTCACCTCAGTGCAGTAGTGATACGCAAAAGAAATGCTTTGGGCTTCTCGCCCCTTGAAGGAGCGCTACAGTCAATGCGACCTGCCAGATTGGTGCGACACTGATCAACGCCATCGCCGCCACAGACCTAGATATGAAATTAGGTTGTAAATCCGTAAGATTCTCAAGGAACACAGCGTGCTATTGTTTGGCCTTCATGAGCATGCCTGCTCTTCCTCAGCTGCTATTTAATATCTTCAGCCTTCTGCATCTTGTTTGGTTCAATCGAATTCATATTCTCCAGAGCTTCATTGTCGCAATCTTCTTTTGATCTCGGGTGACTCTCCTTTCCAGTTCACACTCATTCACCCTCAAAAATGTTTTACAGCGCGGGTATCATCACTTCTATTCTCCCTCTCATCGCAGCGCGCGTGATTGAGGACGCCTCTTTGGCGGGTCGGACAACTTATCCATTCAACAACCTTATAGCCTACGGCGATGAACTGAGTGATAACGGCAACGGCTCTTTTGCGCACGGCATCACCGGCGATCCAGCCAATGTGTACGGCTTCGGAACATGGACTAACGGCCCGGTCGCCGTGTCCTATCTCTCCGACCTACTCCGGGTTCCGCTGACAGACTATGCATTCGGCGGGTGCTGCGGTGGAGGCGATTTTGGGGCGACCTTTGACAATGCCTACACCAAGTCGAAGGCTGGGGCGACAGACATGATTGGACAGGTTGCTAACTACACCGGTCGTGGCGCCCCGGGTATTCGCTCCTCTCTGCAGTTCCTCTGGTTCGGCGAGAACGACCTCAGCATGCATACTGACGCGTTTTGGTTAGGCGATCCAAAGAACGCGCAGTTTGCAACCGACGCGGCAGTCAAGATCACCGCGCAGGTTCAGAACCTCATTGATAAGGGAGCACCGTACGTTATGGTCGCCAATATCTACCCCAAGCATCTCGCCCCGGTGACGCCCAAGTACCTCTGCGGTACCAACGCCGACTGCGTCAAGACCTGGGGCCAGGTAATTCAGCAAGCAAATTCGGCTATCCAGAAGAGCCTCGGCCAGTTTGGCAAGAAAGTCATCTACTATGATGCATTCAGCTTCATGATTCAGATATTGGCCAACCCCAAGGCATATGGCTTCCCAAAGCCTCTCAACCTCTTTTGTGACGGAGACGAGACGGCTCAGTGGACGGATTGCATGATTGACGGGCACGCCAATGAGTACTTCTGGATGAACTTCATTCAACCAACGACTGCTGGACACAAGTTGATTGCTCAGGATATGAAGAAGACCATCGATACGCACTTCGCCTGAAGACCGCGCCATCAACGCTCGTGATACAGCCATTTCCAGATGCAAGGCCATCAAAAGTTTGACGGAACCCGAATACACTTCATTCTCTTGTATATAGCTCTTTCTGTGTTTCATCCTGCACAAACCTGAGACTTGATTCCGTATTTCTTCGTATTTCACTGAGCATCCACTACTCATTCTTGAGCTCGTGACTCTAGAAAACAATCATCGTTTGACATCATCGCGGAGACAACTCTCAGTTTGTTGAGAAGACAAATGAGATAAGCAGCAATCCACCACACTGTCAACTATCAAAATCGCTAAGAGTCCTCGATATCTATCCCCTCTGTGATCTTCATGACCTTTCTAACGTCATCAAAGTTCACCGCTCTTCCGTCTTTCTTTGCCATGATACCAGCTGTCCTCACAATGTTCCGAATGCGCCGACCATTCACATTGATCCTTGACAGAGATCCAAATTCACTCTCTGACATGGTTGAGTTGTTCTTGTCCAGGAACGTCTGCCAAATTTTCAGACGAGAGGGTTCGTCTAAGGCGGGGTAGTTGATATTGAGATGGACACGGGAGTAGATGGCAGGGTCAAGGGACCGCTCGCGGTTGGTCGTCAGGAAGAGAAGAGACGGGTAGTACTCGAGTTCTTTCAAGAAGCCTGTACGGATTTTGGTCTCGGTCAGATGAGTAATTACAAAGACGTGATGTCAGGGCTACTTACGGGACACCATTCTGTTTCGTTTGGTCGAAGCATCACTACGCTTCTCCAAATACATGTCACACTCGTCAATCAGTAGAACGGCTCCCCAGCGAGCAGCAAGTTCAAATGCAGTTGTGAAGCTCATTGAACGATCAGGATCTCGGGGACGGGGACTCAAGGATCGGTTCCGGTCATCATAGCGTACTGGGACAGCGTCATTGTCGCGGTCGTCCTCATGGTAATCTCCTAACTCCATCTTGAATAGGGGAGCCTGTATCTTCTCGGCAACTATCACAAGAGTCAGCTCCATGTCTGATCTTTAGAGATCTCCGAAAGTATATGGAATCGTACCAGACTCGGCAGTAAGAGTCTTGCCGACACCTGGGTCCCCGGCAAGCAAGGCTACAAGCCCACCACCTATAGAATGTTAGCGATGTACCTCCAACACATCAAACATTAGTGACCTTCTACAACTTACCCTTTCCGTTTATGACATCATCGAATGCAACCTTATCCTTGACTTGACTCTCAACGAAAGCCAGTATGAGATCCTTGTATCCTTCAGGCAGCACCAGACTCTCGAAGGGCTTCGTGTTCCATTCGATATCGTGAATCCGGTCTACTTCAAAGCTCCCTATTCCGAAGGATTAGAAAATGTCAAAAGTCTAGCAGTGTAATGTTTTATCAGATACTTACTCCAAGTCTTCTCCTTGAGATCAAATCCATCGACCTCGGGGTCCATGAGCTGTAAATGAAACTCTGTAAGGTGTTTCCTGGAATTCTCCTCAATATCCTCATCACGTAGCCCTGGAACTTGTGTTAGACTGATATAGTATTGGTGTTCGTGGGGTATTTGCTTACTGAATTCCGGAGAGATACTCCGGCGCCTTCGGACAGTCTCGATCACGACCGGGGATCTTCGTCTGGGCGCGACAGGTGGATAATACGGGGACACTCGTCGAGGCGCGGGGTGACGCATCGGCCGGCGACCGCCTCTCGGTCTCTCGTCCCACTCATCAATGTACTCTTCCAGAGGGATGTGTATGCCATTTGGGGGAGGGGAGTCCACTGGTGACTGATTGATGAGGTCGGTGTACTGGCTGAAAAGCGGCTGAAGTCTTTCTTTGCGTCCATCGTCGACGTAGGCTGAGAGATATACTCTTCTGTGACTGGGATCGATCATCACACGAAGCTCGGATTTAGGATCATCCCCCGCTGGATGGTATGCCTTGTAATGAGTACCAGCCAAACTCGCGTACTTGCGGCCTCTTCCTACCAGCTTTGCTTGCATTCCTGAGAAGTCGCGGAGATACTTGGCGGGAAAAGCAGGCAGGCTTTCGATTGAGCGAGTCCCTAGGAAATTGTCAATGGGGATGTCCTCGTGGACCGTACCGAACTGCATGGCTGGGAAACCCCAGGCGATGTAGGAGAGACTCAGGTCGATCGCGATGTCTCTCGAGGAGCATGACCGAAGGACGTAGAAGCGGTCGTGACTATCATCAGCCGAGTATATCAGCTCTCCGGGCGCGAACAAGATCCAGAGGTAGTTGAATGTGATGACTCCGTGGCTGACGAGTTCCTTGTTGACTGCAAATGCCCCTGCTAGTTCACGCTTGACCAATCCCCTCAGAATGGCCAAGATCTTCTTCACGATTTCGTCCTTCTCCTCTGCGACAGCTTTCTCGAAGCGCTCCCAGCGCCAGAAGAACTGGTGGAAGGGTGCCAAAAATGTGAGATATTTCACTCGTTGCACGATGTTGTCGTAAGGCTTGAAGACGTCGATCAAAACTTTTCGAGTGGCCGCATGTCGAATCTCGATTGAGTGAATGGAAATGATTGTGCCAGTACGGCCGGCATTCACTCGACGTCGGATGACCAGGGGGCTGCCGCTTTCATCCTCATCGTCTTTATCGACTTCCGTTAGATCAACGCCGTGGGGACATTCGTCCATCCAGTTGATGCAACATTGGCATTTCTTCGGGCCCTCGTAGAGATCCTGGATGATCTCCTTGCGGTCCTCCTGGCTGATTTGAACGTCTTCCTCGATGCGAATAGCATCAGCTAAGCGTTCGATGACCGAGAAGTCCTCATCACCCTTCAACGCCTCGTTAATAATAGACTCAGCAGACATCCTGACTCGACAAACGATGCTGCAATGGGTTCAACAAAGGTCTGAAGTCTCGGTATCTGAAGAGTAGACACACTGAAAATGACGAGGGTCAACGAGGATATAGTTGACTCGCTGGAAGTGCCGAGATGGGGCAAGATAAAATACACCAAAACCTCCAGAGACCATCTCCGTGTCACCTCAAACCGACTGTTGCCTGTCAGCGTTGACTCGACTGGCCGCCAAACTTTCTCAAGTTGTAGGGCTGTGAGACGCTATCCAGGCAGAATATGCAGACATTCGGACATGGCCAGCCAATTATTCGTGATGGAGAGGTTGTACCCCACGAAAATGTGCAGATGGATAAGCACTAGTCCTTGACTGCATACCACTAGACCGGGTCTCATCAAGGCAGATTTCGAGGCTGACATGTATGTCCGATTCACAGCATGTCATGCGGGGTCCTTTTCAATTGGGTCTATGGAATTGAATTGATGTAGATTTGTTTCATCTATGAAAAAGTTCCGCATAGCATGATTGACTCTACTCTGCAATCAGTTCCCCTCCTCCCAAGATTACACCAGACTTGAATTTGCGTGGAACAATGAGGCCGCATTGGAGTATACCAACTTTCCCTGAGTTCGTTGGTAGACTTGGTTGTAGATATAGTCCCTCGACCAGATAGCGCATGATTCTTTCAGTGTTGCTCGGCCGAAGCAGCATCAAGTTCCTTTTTCTCCAAGTCATCCGACTTGGAGAATCCTCCACCAGGCGAGGCGCGGTTCAGCACTGCACTCAAGCCGATTTCGTTGTTGATCTCTTCCATCCTCTCAAAATCCGCAGCGGCGGTGCCTTCAGAGCCAAAAACCAGGTCCTACGTTCAAGGTCAGCTAATGTCGATGGTTGTCCAAGAGATTGGTAGTTCCGAGGCGAAATGGGTACTATGGTTTGTGATGTAGACATACCATTTCTTCCAAAGAAAGACGCTTCGTCTCCGGGACTATGAACCAGATGAATGCGGCGCCAAGGTAGGTCAATAGGCCGAACAAGATATATGTGCCATAGTTGATGCTTGTCAGCATGTCTGGGGTGACTTGTCCAACAATGAAGTTGTTCCTAGATATTGTCAGCGCCTGGTGGGTTTGCCTGCTTTGGGTCGTGATCTCAAACTCACATCCAGTTGCTGGAAGCTCCGAGAGATACGCCATATGGCCGAGTGCTCAGAGGCCAAACTTCAGCGATGATAATCCACGCACAAGGACCCCAAGAGTCTAGAATTTGTTCATTAGTATTCTCTTCTAGCAGAAAGTGTAGAAGGACTCACATCCAAAGTGGACCACAAACAGCCAAACCATACACACCGCGGCCCAACTAAAGTACATTAGTCAGTACACCTATCCACCTAACGTCAACTGATGGTAGACAACGTACCCAGCAGCTGGTTGCTGATCAAATCTATCGATGTTCTTGGCAAGAATGACAGCAATGATGAGATGGCAGGTTCCCATGCCAATAGCACCAATGCTGAGGACAGGCTTTCGGCCGACGCGATCAATCCATAGCACGGCAGGAATGGTTGCAATGAACATGACCACACCAACGACACCGGTGGCAAGCAAGCTTGTGGTTGTTTGACTCAGGCCCAATTGACTAAAGATCTGAGGAGCATAGTAGAGGACCTGGTTGTTCTGTCAACTAAAATTGTCGCAAACAAGATCTCGTTAGTAGGACCTACAGCGTTGATACCTGTCCATTGTTGAAAAAACTGGAATTTGTCAGAGATCCTTCCTTTCTGAGTTGATGTGAAATGAGGATTGTGCACATGGTCGGACTCACCATAGTCACAGTTGCGACGATTACTCGCTTAAACATGGCCTTGGTCTGGAAAAGAGCCTTGATGGCGACGAACTGCAATTTGAAAATGTTCCAAGCGGTCTGCTCCTTCAGATGGGGGAAGAGCTCGGCCGTGCTTCGTTTCTCGAATAGCGACTGAGCTTTGATCTCGAGGAACTCCAACTCGATGAGCTCGTGGTTCTCAGGGAGGTCTCGGAGATCAGCGAGGATCTTCCTGGCTTCCTGCTCCCGACCGTGATGAATGAGCCAACGCGGGGAGAATGGCATCCAGATCATTCCCACAAAGAGGATGATAGCGGGACCCAATTGCAGGCAGATCGGAACAAGCCACGCGGCATCTGACTGTGTGTCTTCGGTGGTGCCGCCGATGTAGTTGCACCCGCTGTGAAAGGTCATGTCGGTCAGAACGTTCGCAGAATGAACATAAGATTTCAAATCAAGTGAGGGGCATACTAGTCCTGCTACTGGTTAGATATATTGACGGAGATGATGAGTTCGAAAGGGCATGGGCTTACAATCCAAAAGCTGATCATGATGCCAAAAGTGATGGCCAGCTGCTGTAGAGCTACAAGAGCACCTCGAACCTCACTGTTGGAAAGCTTACGTCAGACAAGCTCAGGAGAAACAACATGATAGTGTATTTCACTTACGGTGGTGCGCATTCTGAATTGTAAAGTGGGACAATCATAGAAAGACTTCCGACACCCATACCGCTGTTCTTCACGTTAGCGGTGCTCGTCCCGTCGGTAACGAAGGTCAGCAGAAGATTACTTACGTGACGAATCTTCCTCCAAGAATTGCCTCGTGGCCACCAGAAATAGAAGAAATTTGGACAATAACACCGAGCATGAAAACACCAGTCGCAATGAGCACACCGTATTTACGGGAGCAAACTTCAGCGATGAAGCCGGATAAGATAGCACCGACCCAAGCGCCAAGCTCGAGAATTGATGTCAGCCAGCCTTTTTGGGTTGGGTTCTTTGTGTATCCGTCCATATCTGAGCGGAAAGCATGTGTAAGCTGGTCTAAATCCTCAATGATTGCGAACACATCTAGGAGGAAAGGGTTGGGGGATCTTACGCTTGTCGAACGACGGCATAGCGAGAATACCGGAGAACATGCCCTAATCGCGGGTAAGTAACTCATATCTACCATATTTCTGTGATTTCAAAACCCAATTGACAGAGTTTCCTCACCTGGTTATAGCCGTACAAGACACCGCCAATGCAGGCAAAGGCAGCGATGCGGGCGACTTTCCAATTCTTGACAAGAGCCCTTGCACCACTAGCTCCCATCAATGCCTGACGTCTTTGTAGCGCGGCATCATAAGCCGCATTGCCAGATGAGTGGCCTCCCATGATCGCCGGTATGCTTTTCTTCTTGCACGTGATAAGGCACAAAAATTCGGGGTTGATGCCGTTCTGCCCACGTTGTCGCTGAGAAAAGTGAACGTCTTAGGTTGCAGTCAATTGGAGTGTTAGAGCTGGATCTGTGGTTCGATGGGACTGTCGCCTCTTTATTGTTCTGTGAGGGAACACGGAGGCAAAGCTGCAGGGTGTGAGCATTGCAGCATCTGATACGATGATCTTTCTCGTTCCTTCATAGCGGGTTTTCAAGCAGGTAGCCCATGCTACCACCAGTAGGAGCGCAAACCAACGCAAATACCAAAACTCTCGGCAGTGAAAGCCATAGTCTCGTTGAGCTTGATTGCCTGTCGTATAAAACAGCTCTCGGTCGAATGTGAAAATACGCCGAGCCTGGACACCCTGCACGATACCCCGCGTGAGAATGGCCATGAGACGACAAATCCTAGGCTCTTAGCACGATCAAATCATCAAAGCCGGCAATAGCAATTTAGCCTAAAGGCGTTGAGGGTGTAACCGTCTTTTGCCAGTCTGGGGGAAGATGCCGACGCTTATCCCCGGCGCCGACCCGCGTGGGGATTGGACGGATGCGTTGACCTTACGCTGCGGTGACAAGGGTTCGCTCACACGCTTTCATCTTACAGGTTGGATGGCCCCAATCCATTCTACCCCATTTACCGGCCGAATCCCGTACGGTTTTGACCTTCTGGGGTACAGCAGCTCGCGTCTGAATGAGACCGATATGCGCCGTGCTTGACCATCTCTGGGAACCTATTGATTAGCGAGACATCGCACAGGACGAAGACGTTGCTTCGGCTCTCGCATAGCGGGCTGAAACCCCGGCCTCCCTTACAGACTCGGAAGAGCTTCGATATTGACTTTCAGCTCAATAGTCTAGATTCTTACATGTGTAAATTACATTGACGGAATTTTCAGAGCTTAGCAGATACACACGCAGACATCGTCGCCTTATCTCGCTATGTTGCACTGAATCCATTGCTGACTGAAGTATTGCTCTTAGCGTTTCGGCCAGCTGTCGGTGGATTCCTACGAGTCTTGCATATGGGCTTACCCGGGGTAGCTACGGGAGTTGTAGACCGACCAGTCTTTTATTGGTTCAAAGTACCTTGCTGCTCACTGCTGAACTTCAAGCTTTCGAAACCAGCTCTGGTACCCTGCCGAAAAACAGGCCGAACAGTCGATCGCACAAACTGGTAGATCTTCCTTTGACGGGTGCATCGCGGCGCAATTCACCAGATCGACGCGGATCATCTCCAACAGGCTCTTTAATCCAGTCGCCCGGAATCTGGGTGATAAAGTCGTACCAATAGTCGCCGAATAAGCGGTACCCCTGGTTGGTAGGATGAATACCATCTCTCAGTGCGTTCATTGGAAAGCTCGAGAAGTCGACAGTGAGAACGTGTTTACCGGCGCTTTGTCGGGATTGAACAACATCATGAATCACCGCGTTGAATAGAGCAATATTGCCCATCTGGACTGGATCATAGCAGCCAATGATCTTGGCGACAAGGACTGTGGCATCTGGGCAGGTCTGCACGACCTGGTCGATCAAGTGGCCTAGACGGTCTGCCGTGGCGTGAGGTTCGCTGCCTTCTCTAGCAACGTCTGGATTCGGGTTCATGTCGTTCGTTCCAGCATGAATGAGGACGATATTAGGTCTCTGGGCCAAAGAAGGTCCGATATTATCTGACATGAACTTGATAGTCATGCCATTCCACGCTGCCTAGTGAGTCGGACGACTCGTCAACTGAGGAATTCGCAGGAGTGCACTATTCAACGTACATAATACCCTTCACGCATCGTGCCGTGCATGGTTTCCGTCCCAGCAAAAACGACTCTATCCTCTTGTGGATTCGTTAGTATGATATCTCTTGATTCGTAGAAGAGGACTGACCCACTTGACAGGTCTTCTCGGAGCTTAAGTCTGTAGCCGTTGCCATCGCCTCCCTCTATGTCACTGAGAAACCCCACTGTGATGGAATCGCCAACCCCAAGGATCCGGAGGGTGGTTCCTGGCTTGACCCCTTGGCCGGGCCGTATCCCTTTGAATTTGAGTGGCGCATGAGATGCCATCGCGGCTTAGATCGTAGATTACCCTTTGACTACTTTGACGATGATTTGACGCTTGATATCGTGAGCGGGGCCTTGACGTTAGACCTGTACCGTGATGAACTGCTGCAGCTAAATTGATGAGCTCGTTGGTGATGTGTGCACGGCCAACATTAAGATCTGTGACGTTGGTTTCAGACGGAGCCCCTCAACAGCTGAGGCTCGACCCAAGGAATGCAACAACAAAGCCAAGAACATGAATGCGGAGTACGTTTTTCCTTTCCGAATATTTCTCAGCGAACCTTAACATTTGCCAAGGACTTCGATTATATGATGCCGACAGAATTCCAATCAACCCCGCCCGCTTCATATGATGATGCCTGGTCCTACTACAGTTGTTTTGAGGCACTCACTGAGGGGCATTTGTTTAACTGGGCTCTCAGTTGATGCAAATTCTTCAAACAGTTTGAATTAAGGACTTCGTCATATCGGATCACTGCCTGATAATAGCGGTACATCATCACATGGGGAGTGGACATGAAGTAATAGTAACATGTTGCTGAATCCAGATCATAGGACTCGTCTAGCTGAAAGTGTGAACATAAAACTGAACAAGCCTAGTGCAGCTTCGATCGCCAGCTCTATTGATAGACGAACAATCACAAAATTTCGGGCGTGCCGTTCAGGAGCGTGGCTGTCCTTGTTTCTGGCGGGACCCCCACATGGTGGTTAACCGTCGTATTTGATACGAATAATCGCGTTCAAAAATCGTATTGCTATGCGCTTCGCACTGCCACTGTGGATCGCCCCTGAATCCTTACGTCTACTCTCGAGCTATGGTCTGTAAATGTTAGAAGAGATAAATAGCCCTCATTAACTTTTCTCTCGCCTTGTATGTAATTGTAACATCAGCATTGTATGTGATTGAACCGGTCTTGTATTTTTCTATTGTCTGCTCACGTTGGCAAATCGCCCCATTCCCACGCTCTCTAACTAATAACGACCAAGACCCTCGGCATATAGATTAGCATCACGACGAAAGGCTTTCAGACAATGGTGAACGAGCTCGACGGACCTGGCCCCTTCGGACCCGTTGTTAACGGAACACAAATCGTGTTCTATCATTACCGTCCGAATGGAGGGGCAGGATGGGCGTTCCTCGTCATTTTTGCGCTCGGTGCACTGGCTCATCTTGGCAACATGTTCTGGCTCAGAGCATGGCATTTCATACCTTTTATATTAGGTGGCATTGGTAGGTCTTGCACGTACTACGAAACTCTATGCCCTAGTACCTACCGTGACTAATCCAGGAATAATAGGAGAAGCGTTTGGATACTACGGACGTGCAAAAGCTCACGAGAACCCCATTGTGGCTGGGCCCTACATCTTACAAAATCTCTTGATTCTTGGATCTCCGCCGCTTTTCGCCGCAACGATTTACATGAGTCTCGGCCGCATCATGATCGCTCTCGACCTCCGGCGCCACGCTTTCGTGAGCCCACGTCTCACGGCCTTCTTCTACGTCCTCATTGACGTCGGCTGTTTTGTTACTCAGGTCTTTGGCGCCGTCATGCCAGCCTCTGGTACGGAAGAGGGCATCAGAATGGGTAAGACTCTGATCATGTCCGGTCTTGCGGCACAACTCGGCGTTATCACCCTATTTGTGCTTTCTTGCTGGCACTCTCACACCTGTGCTCGACGCGAGGCAAACGACTTGAACGCGACAAAAGCGGGAATCGAGTGGAGGAAGTACTACCTGATGACGTACGGCATTGCCTCTCTCATGTTTCTGAGAAGTTTGATCAGGGGAATTGAGTATTTTCAAGGCGAGAATGGGTACATCATGAGCCATGAGATCTTCTTATACCTCTTTGATGCCGTTCCCATGGTCGCGATTATGGCGATGTATCTTTGGATTCACCCTGGGAGGTTGGTTCGCGATGTTGGCCGGGTCAAAAGTTATACTTGGCCTGATGAGGCCAATATCATGCTTGAGAGACGATGAAGTCTCATTTTGCGATCCCTCGGTAGCCTGAACGAGACGCATTTCTCATAGTATCGTATGTTGAATTCCGGCACCACACCATGCACATAGAGCGGTACAATAGACAACTTTTATTTGTTTGAAGTAGATATTTACATCAGAGAACCCAACTCAAAACTCCAGCCCTGTCACCACTGCACGAGGGAACTTGTCCGATTTCGATCAATGGTCGTTGCGCTCTAACCACTTCTCGCAAGCCTGGTAAATCTTGTCAAAAGACTCGCAATGCTGCACAACACGTTGATAATGTTCCTCTCCAGCTCTCTTGACAAAGTACAGAAATCCAACAAAAACGAAGTCCGTGTAAGACACTGGATTGGGTATCGTTAGCGGTCGTGTCGATGGATTCCCAGTGGAAAAGTCGAGAGTGCATGCATACCCTTGTCACCGAGGAAGTACGGGCCATCGGTCTTGTCCAGAAGCTTCGCGAGGCCCTCCAGTGGCTGTTTGGCATTCGCCCAGGCTTCGTCCCCTCCCTTGGTCTTCTCAAGCTCATCCAGTGAGACCCCAAACATCTCCGCCCTAGTTCGATGAAAGTACTCCGCGCTATACTCGCCCAACATTTTACGGGGGACATTGGGCAAAAGGACAGCAACAAGAGCTCCGAAAGTCTTGCTTAGAAGATCGTACATTGGCTGGAGCACCTCCGAATCGATGTAGAGCGGCGGCTCAGGGTAGTCCGCTTCAATGCGCTTGATGATCTTGGCGCTGTTCATGATGTATGTACCATCAGGGTACTGCACAGTGGGACACGTGTAAGGCTTGATCTGGTCCGGGTCACCCTCCAAGCCGGTTGGCTTGAGCCTAGGTTCGATATCGGGATACTCGAGCCATTCCGTCTTGTAGTCAATGCCCTTGTAGTTGAGAGTCAGTCGAGCTGTATGCAGAATTACGTCAGTCGAAATGTCCAGCGTTTACCCTGGTTGAGTGAGGCTACCCACTCTTCCAAGGATTCAAAGACCAACAGGCCCCGTTCCGATCGGGAATATCGAAGAAGATGAGCTTTTCGGGCATGGTGACTTCGATGTTGCGATCTCTGCGACCGATGGTGGGATTTGAGGAGAGTTTGTTCGGGGATAAGTGGTTTTATGTAAGTTAACTCAAGTGAGAGGGGTAAGAGTAAGCATGAGGGGAATAGAGGAACAAGGAGCTTGGCAAGGGTTCATCGGACTGATCTCATTCATTACAAATCGACCGCCCGGAGAGGATCCGCGGCGGGCAGTGGGGTTCCGGCGCTAGCTGCTTACTGCGTCGGTGTTCATTGACCAGACTTTTACGGTTATTCCAGCCGTAAACATGGTGAATGCGGTATTTTGGCAGGCTTCGCATCGTAGTTCTAAAGGATCCAAAGATCGAGAAATGGACTGTAGGACGCAATTCGAACATGGGTTCCACAATCTTAACTTCTGCATCTCTGGGGATGCCTGACGAGATTATGAATTTCTTTACCTGCCGAGACCGGACAAAATTACGTAGTCCGAGTTCCGAGCAGCGGAAGGACAGTTCAAGCGGGCTAGACCTACTTCACGCTGGGAGAGGTACAGTGCGTTGAGTTCAAATCAATTATCTATTCCTACTGATCGAGCAACCTGTAAGTTGCAACTGTCTCCAATGGTCAATACTCTCTCTTACTCTTTCTTATACCATGGCTTGTCACCAGAGCTTGCATCGCTATGGAGCGTTTGTAGAATAAGCTCGACTTCATCATCAGCAGCTTCAAAGATATGTTCTGGGGGAAATTGCGGTTTCCATCCAAGTTGAGCACCGTGCTTGGCTGTGAAGGTACACCTAGGTTCAAATAGCCAACGTTAGCTCTGATAAACAGACTGCTGGTCCACGATCATGCACTTTACACAACTTGGAATTCACTCACTTTCCAGCCAATCTCATTTGGACGAGAGAGCTCTCCGTGCCTAACCCGTGAGCCATCTTGCCAAGGGCCGTTTCGTCTGCGGGAACGACACGTTCATCTGTAATGACGTTCCGGACCTTAAGTGCCTTGGCCATCGCCTCATACAGGTCATCCCAGGTAACACTACCGGAAGCTGCGAGATAGTAGCCGTTCTTCCCGTATTCTGGCTTTTCTCCGTTCAAAATTGAGCGCAGAATTTGAAGGTAGAGGGATGTGTTATCAATTACGTGGCAGACAGGCCAAGTCTCAAGATGGGGTAAGCTTTTGTCAACATTTCTGGGGAGATATTCATCACTTACTGGGCGACCAGGTGTGACTGAGTAAACTTGACCAGCCGCCCTAGCGGCTTTGACAATGTCGACGGTTTGAATGGAAATAGGATTGCCAAATCCTTCTCCCCTTCCATCTGTATCATGAAGTCAGAGGGAAAACAATTGACAGGGTGATTTGATGGGGTACAAGGCTTACAGACTATGCAGGGAGCAAATACATAAGACTTCACACCGTTGGCTTGTGCTAGGTCAATAACTCGGGTATTTGTCTCAACAGGCTTGAGTACATCGTGTAATTAGCATGGCTTGACGATAACCGAGGGCCATACTGCGAACTAACTTTTTGCATGAAAGAAATGGGAGGTTCTTGAGCTTTCTGGATTTCATATAGCTTGGGGTCAGTGTCCAAGAGTGGACTATCCGTAGGGGCACCTGCAAGACCCGAAAAGATCTTGGCTCCCGATGTCTAGAGAAGCAAAACCACGTGTTAGCCGATTTCCACTGAATTTTGAGCGGGGCCATTGACGGGGTGTACACACGTGAAGCAAGTGAACGTCTAGACCCGTCTGAGACTTCACTTCGCCCAAAGCTTTGATGAAGTTTTCTTGGCCCACAGATTCGAAAGCATCAATCAAGTAAAAGACAATGGTGATACGATTCTGTATCACTACATTTCGGACTGCCTGCTCATCTCGAGGAGAAAAAGTAAGAGGCTCGGCCCCGTATTGCTTTACTTGCTCCCGCTGAGCGTCTGTTCGAACGAGTGCGAACAGCTTATCGTAGCCCGTGAGGCTGGCGCTTGCCCAACGAGCAAGTAAAGTTCCCCCGAGGTAGCCTGACGCACCCGTGATAAGGATATTATGAGATTCAGTCATGGTAAGGATTGGTTTTGTTTATCGTTGATGGAATGCCAAAGCGAAAGTGAGATAAACCTAGACGTAGTCCGGTCTCATTCTTGTAAAATTGTGGCCAGGATCTTTCCTGCTTGCCAAGATTCTGGACCGGTACGAGTTACAGGACTCACTTCTGTTTTAAAATCAGGATTTGACGGATAATCCGAGGGGCTCACCAAATGATCATAGAGATTAATAACTTGGTTCATGGCATTGATCTCAGATAAGCAGCCACCGTGGATTTCGTCATTTGTAAGCACTTCTCTCGGGGCATATCGTGCTAACGGAACGTCATGGGCTTAGTAAATTCGACAAAGTGCAGTGTCCGAGCCATGGGGAATTATACGGATATAGCTGTCACGCACGGGACGGCCCTTCTATGCTGACTCAACCCCACCCTGAGATTCATTGTTGAGTGCGTACTGCACTCAATTAGTAAGTTTTCAGTGACATAAACTCTGTTCAACTACACTATCGTCTTTTCAATTACAAATTCACGAGTTCCGCGAGCCCCATATCAAATCAACTCTTAGTCAAGAGATTGCAGTAAATCGACCGGGGCGTGGACCGCAACGTTCTGCAAGTGCTGCCAAGTGTGGGACGCGGTGGTCTTGTGCCGCTGTCATTGGGTCGAAAGACACTCGCTTCTGCTTGTAGGGCTTCGAATGTCCCACAAGCAACCCACCACTTGAGGCTTAGGATCATAATCAAACCGCGAGTCCGCCAACATCATCGAGAAGCATCTCAATATCCCCGATGGCACAATTGGCTAGCGCGTCAGACTGTTAATCTGGAGGTTGGTGGTTCGAGCCCACCTCGGGGAGTTACGATGGTTAGAATCCATTAACTCATTGAGGTTTCATTTTTGCAATTTTTGGCACATCAGGTTCCACACGATATGGGCCGTCTGGTACGCAGATCACGGCGAAAACACTCCAAACACTCTTGCTTTATCATTTCTACGTTTTGAATATGTATGAGAATGCTAAGTTGTGGCCCTCGGAGTATGGTCACAAACGACTCAGGTATTCTGCCATGCAACATTTTCCGGCGCAGCTGTTATCTGATCCCGAAAGTCGACATGCCCGAGTTCTTACACCGCTCCCCAAAGAATTGTTCCATCTTGACGCGAAACGCTTAGCAGCCGACGTAGATGGCGTTGGCGAAGACTGTGACGTGAGAGTGGTAAGCACGTGCAACGCGAAAAGAGAGAGCGAGAGAGACTTACGGGCGTAGGTGTCGGCGTGGTTCAGGTTCTGGGCAGCGGTCAAGCTCTGGACACAGCTGTAACCGTAGCAGGAGCTCTGGTCGGTGGTGCCCTTGATCTGGGTCAAGTGGGTGACCTCGTGGAGCTGACGTAAATCGAGTTAGTGATCGAGCCAGTAGTAACTTTTATCCTGGAGCAAAACTTACGGCAGTGGTGGCACGGTCCTGAGCGTGGCAGGTGCTGGAGAGAGCGGTAAGGCTGTTGAAGAAGTAGGGGCCTGTGGCGCGGGGAGTTTCGTCAGATGAGTCACCAAAAACGATATGCCATGTCTAGTCGTGAGGGCAGCGGTACTTACAGTTGACCATGTAGGAAGCGGAGGGAAGAGTGTAGGCGATGACACCGGAAGAGCAAGCAGGGTAGATATCGGTGCAGTACTGCTTGGAGACACCAGAGGTGGTGCTGCCGCACTCGGTGGCGACCTTGGCAAAGACGCCAGCGACAGTGGTACGGGTAGCGGTGGAAGAGGACTTGAAGTACTCGACCATCTTGGCAGCGGCGCCAGTGGAGGCGGCGGAGGAAGCAGCGGCAGCGAGGGCACGGCAGTTGGAGAGAGCGGTGGTGGTAGCGGTGCGCTGGGTGCCGGTGCAGTCGGACTGGACGACGGTGCGCTTGACGTTCTCGCGGAAGTCGCGGCGGACCTTGGAGGCGGCGGCGCCGTCAACCTCGACGCTCAGGACGTTTGAGCTGAAGGAGGCGGTGCTGGTGATGTCGTTGCTGCCGACCTCGGCGATGGAGAGAGCGCCCTTGGCGGCGACATCAACCTTGCCACCGACGCTGAGGTCGTGGACTTCACCGTAGTTCCACTCGACAGAGACGGTCTCGCCGGCGGAGATGACCTGGAAGGCATCCTCGGGAAGGCCATTGGTGCCGAGACGAAGGCGGATACCGTCGAACTCGACCTTGTCGGCTATTGATGAGGTTTGTTAGTGGCCAAGATTGGATCATTGTGATATTCATAAGAATGCACTTACAGCCAGCAAAGACCTCAGCCTTCTCGACAGCGAGCTTGTCGAGAATGGAACCAGCCTTCAGGACCTTGAGGTCAGAGGCACCGGTGTTGGTGATGCTTGCCTTGATGGCGGTGTTGCCAGTGGACTCGATCTTGACATCGAGGGGGCTGTCGCGCTTGTTGAGATCGACGACAACGGCGCTGGCAACAGCAGCGAAGCAGGAGAGGCCGGTGAGGAACTTCATGGTGAAGGTTGGACAAAGAAGGCAAGGAAGGTAATGCTGGGTTGATCTTGCCGATGCTGGTGAGGGATGAGGAGCAGGAGGTTGGCCATCAAGGTCCTCACGAGGAGTTTATATACTCGAATGAAGCCATATTCAACTGCTAGTCAAGTATCATCCCTCATTCAACCATGGCTTGCTGATAAGCTTTCCTTCCGTGTTCCGCCTCCAATGGCCTTGATCATCATTGACAAGCGCTTTCCGGTGTCTGCCAAGCCGGGAAGAGCGACAGATTGGGAATGTGATAAAGAAGGTGGCTACATTCTCTTTCGTCGATATGAGGGGCTAAGCGAGTCTAACGCAACGAGGTCACCGGAGGTTAGCGAGGATAGGAAGGCAAAAGAAGGAGCGAGGGCGAGTTTGCAGGACCCGACGATGATGTGGGATGCCAAGAAAGCCAAGATGGCCAAGATGGCAACTCTATCGACCTTGCCGCATGTCCCCATGCTTGAGCTGGATCGTCGGGTAAAGAGAAACGGTCGAAGTCTTGTCTGAATGCGAAGCAATCTGGGGAAGGACGTTCCATTAAAGCTCTTGGCATGTCGCCGCATCCGGAGCTCACTCCACAAGTCCTGTCGCCAGAGACCGCGCTAGGGACGTGAGTTCAAGCTTGAATCAAACAACCATAACGGCAACTAGCTTTTGCTAGTCTCGGTATCTAATCGAAGCAGCATGATGCCTACATACAGTCTTTATTTGACCGGGAGACTCGGGGAGGCGGCGAACGCCGGCGGGTAAGTGGCCCCTTGTCGTTACTCGAGACTAAAGTAAGATAGGCACCTAGAACCGGCCAGTCTTTGAGACTCAATATACTCATGGCAATGGTAGGCGAGCCTCTTACCAGCTTGGGAAGGAGGTAAACTCTTAGTGAATGTGGTGGAAGGCTCCCCGGCGCTTATTTGTATTTTTGCAAGCGTTTCGACGATAAGTATGAGGTCAGTACTTGGCCGTCCTGCTGAAAATGAACTGCGTGGTACGCGAAATCGTGAACACCCGCGTATGGCAGGGGCAAAAGCGGCTCATCCAGTTAGCCGACCAATCCCGACTTGTGTCTGTTCGTATTCCTCCCGGAAAAGTCGACGGATATGTGCCTTGATAGAGATATCGCACCAGGGGTCGAGACAGGGCTGGAGGCGGGAAGCTTATGTGGTCGATCGATGGCCCGTAGGATGGCACTCTCTGCGGGGTAAAGGACGCGGATCAAACAGACCATTTGGGACCTTATTATTTACATTCCTATTCGGGGATCGCGAGCTTTCCAAGCTGTTGAAAGACTTGACACCCAAGGCTCAGAGCCTTTCCTCTTTTCACCCGTATTGATCATCATTTCGAAGGCTACAAAGTGTTGGGCGATTTCCCGTTGTACGGCACCCGGCACTTTTTGGCGGCTGGGCGCGCAGAAAAAGCACCGCCGTTGGCAATCTACTTGACGCGTTCTACGACGACCTTCCTATTCCGATGCTATGTACCGGGTCTAGACTGAACCCTGCGGTAGTTCGGGTTCTGAGGTTACAATGGAGACTTGGGGGAGCCCCAGTGCACTGAACATTCTGTGGCACGAGTAATCATCCCATCACGCAGTTCTGTATCCGTAATTGCATTTCAATGCCGACCATCGGCGTGGAGAAGGCTTGGCATATTACTGGTACCACGTCCACAGCGGAAAGGGTGCGAAGTTTCTGGGTTTGAACAACGAAGCAAATTACTTATCTCTCGGGCTGCTGTTCCTGCGAGATGACAAAAGTCCTAGCTCGCCATAACCAATTGGAAGTAGTGAGATGGGCCGAGACTACAAAAGGGGCGGAACCGAGGCTTTCTGGGTGTTTCAACACCTTCCTGAGATGAACATGCCTACTTACTTCTTTGGCTCGAAGGCGCGCTATGGCGAAACCGGTCACTCCGCCTGCTGTCTATAGGAAGAGTCTTTCTCGTTGGGCAACATTTACAACGACTACAGTTGTTCTCTTCGCATGGTGTGGTGGTGTAAAATAGCTCTCAATGGCTCTGGAAACTTGTCTAAGCACCTAGTCAATGCTTCAGTTCATCGATGACAACATCCGTGTAACTCATTGCGCGTGCACATAGTTCTCTTCCTACATCGATTTTATAGACTGCATGGACGAGATGCAGTCGCTCTTATTTGAGAGCCTCTCGGCTTGGCTCCCTCCCCTCTGCACGTTTAAGCATTCGCCAAGTTGCCAAGACAAAGTGGCAGCTGGTCATGGCGTGCTCAACGGTCGCTTAGGACACCATTCCTATACAGGAAGGCCATAGCAATACGTGTACCCCGTATGTTTTGAGCGGTCACCGTCAGCCCATGATCGGATTAGAAGGAGACACGAATCTATCTAGATAGAACAAGGTGGTGTGCCTTCTCAGCCGATGAAACACATGTAAATGGATGATAAGGCCTAGCCCGTCTGGTTCTAGGATGAACACTATTCCTTTCGATATCTGGTGTGCATACCAGAATGCATCTACTTTCGGGAGGATGTATGAGAATAATCTAGAGGCGGAAGCTACTCTGTCACCCTTGATAGCACTCGAGAGGATCATGACGTCCGTGGCATCCCACCATGCTACACGTATCCAGCAAGTTATCCATGTCAAGCTCCAAGTGAGCATAAACCGGAGAGCCGTCCTCATTCGGCACCAGTCTCAAGTACGTGGCGACAAGCTCGCGCTTCTCGAGATCCCACTTACCTGACATCCAAACCCACCTCGACCCAGACGGTATGAACCCATTGGCATCCATCCCTCTTTCCTCCAACATCACCACGCCAGACTTGCCAATGACGAGCGCTTTCCCATCCCAGGCGCTTTCCCTCCATGCCATGGTGTTGAGGAGGTGGACAGCTTGCATTCTCAGCTCGTGATTGCGACACTTGGCGACGATGGTGGCGAGCGGAGTTGTGAGGCCTTCTGAGAAGGTGAAGCCGACCTTTGAGATCGGTCCTGGGTCACGCATGTACGTCACAATCCTGTTCAAGAGGTCCCTGAAGTCGGCCTCAAACGCGTCGTAGCACATATCAGTCCGGTCAAGACCGCAACTGATGACGATGTGGATTAAGAGCCGATGGATTTGTATCTTTCGTAGAGCTCGTCTTGCGTTGTCCTCAAGAGAAGGGTCTTTGAGGTATACTTCTAGGACAGAATCCCACATTCGTATGTATGATAGGAACGTAGCTTGCTCCAACGCAGCCTGTGTAATATTGCGCTGCTTGTATCGAAGCTGGTTGTGCAGACAGCGCATGATGTGTACGACTGCTCGAGTAAAGAATTGACCCCAGAAGACTTCGAGCTTGGCAACTACTGTAACACCTGGTTCAGGCAGCTCGAGGATCGGAGTGCCGTTCATCATTGGCATCGCAGTGCGGTGGGAGTTGAAGAAGTGGGTGAAGCCGCTCATGAGGGAGAGGCATGGCAAGAGGTGCTCAATATCCTCCATCTCATCGTCCCGCACGCCTCTCCGCAGTTGGGTAGCCACGGACTGTGAAGGTTTCGTCGAGGTGGCTCCATTTTCATTTGCACGACGTGGCGGACGCTGCGTAAGCGAGATTTTGTTCTCAAGAAGACGCATCCCGGTGCCAGTCAGAGTGTCGACATTGTTCATGTTGCCTTGGATGAACTCGAACCCAACAAGCAATAGAGTCATGATTATGACTGATCGTGGTGATATCGAGGATGGGTCCTGAATTCGCTGTCTGTATATCGAAACCGCTCTGACGTGATGAAGTAAAGCCGACCTATGATGGTGGTTGAGAAGCCCACCAGATGGCGCCATCTTGGTACCCCAAGGGCGAAGTGCTGATGGCATGGCATCCAGCTGGTCCTTTGACATCTCCTCAACCATCTGGGCTTGAGATATAGCACCGATAGCCAAGAGAGACTCTTGAACGCATGGGTCTTGGGAGCTCTCCTGTAAGACGATTCTAGACCAAGCATCAGAATGGCCAGACCCCCAAAGGTCACGCACAAGCCGGTGTCGGAAGAGATCGTAGTAGTGAACATCCTCCTGGTTGACCCGCAAAGTCGAGGGGCAAAGCGGCGGTGGTAAGGGTAACCGCACCGCTATTTCTTGACCGGAGGCGACCGGACCCGACTCGTTCGGCCGCGGAAGAAGCTGCCGGCTCGCTTGTGCTTCCTGGGCTGCGACGGCCAACCTTCGTTGCTCGGCGCTCCTCTTGGAATCGGCGTCTTCTTTGGTGTATCCGTCGCATTCCACATCGGCTTTCTCGCATCGGAAACACGTGGGCTTGCGTTCATCACACTTGACACGCCGGATCTTGCAGGTGATGCAGCCTGATCGCACCTTGGGACGACTAGCACGTTTCCTTCTAAGATGGGAAGCTTCGCCAGTGCCGTTGATTGAGACTTCCAGGTCTTGATTGGTGGGATGGATAGTGCTAGGGTGCGGGAGCAGCGGGAGGATGCGGCTCTGTCGAGCTCCTTCGATGTAAGCTGAAGCTTGATTCCCCTGTGGCATGGCTTGGGTAAACGACAGGTTGTTCATGATTGAATTAGGCTATTGGTCTCTGATCTTCGATGTGTCGTTCCAATATCGAAGATTACGGCGAGAGCCTCGTATTTATGAGAAGTTCGCTGAACAAAGAGGTCAACTTCCATTCAACGGCCGACGCGATGTCTTCTCGGACGGGCTGCCTCGACCTTCTAGCCATGCAAGCTGACTGGAAATTGGTCGAAAGCGGATTTGCACAATGATGCTTGACCCTAGAAAAGGGATGCCTACATGTCAGGTGCAAAGTCCGGCGAGGGCTGACGGAAATCCCCGGCGGCATCAAGTATGACCGTCTCTTGGCCCTGCGCTGCGGTTTCTGAGCCCCCTGTCAACTTTAGTGCCAAGGAAGGTTTCCATTGGACGACAGAGGACCGAGCCAATCATAAGGGGCAGCTCGTATTCTTTGAGCTGCGTAGATAATTGGACAGGCTAGGTTTACTCAGCA